TCACCAAAACTTTGTCCATCCTTCCACATATTCATTTTTTCGATTTCATTCAATCTCTTAAAGCTATCATACCTGATGGTGGATGGTCTGACTGGACTTCATGGAGTTCGTGTCCAGTAACGTGTGGTGGAGGCAGCCAATCACGAACACGCACGTGTACAAACCCACCACCAGCCAATGGTGGTGCAGATTGCCAAGGAAACAGTAGACAGACTCGATATTGTGCAACAAACACCTGTCAACCAGGAGGTAAGTAAAAATGTTTCTTTTTTAGTTTGATAAGAAAACATGCTCCTTTAGTCATTCCTTTGCATTTGCACTGAATTTTGCTTTTTTTTTTTTCTACACCAGGGTGTCAAGCAGGCCAGACTGTGACAGATAGTTGTGGTCAGCGGTGTGTCTGTGGTGCGGGTGGTACCTTGACTCAGTGTACTCGTATAAGAAAAGAGTTTACCGCCATGACGACAGATGAGCGAGAAAGATATATACGAGTGGTTAAAACAGTTTCTACTGATGCAAGGTTTGTCGGAGTTATAAATGATCAAATTTTGATTCAAAGATCTCTCCCCCCCCCCCCCCCCCTCTCTCTCTCTCTTGAAAATTCAAAAAAATCCCAATTTGATCTGTGAATTGGCTGTGTCATGACTTAGTTTACCCAAGATATTTTTTCAGGGTTTTAACTGTACATGTATAGCGGAGTCAGGTTGGTGTGGTGGTAATACGCTCGCCTCTCACCTCTCACCTCTGTGGTCCAGGGTTCGTATCYCAGTCACCCCATGTTAGTCGAGTTGGTTGGTTCTCTTTCTGACCGGAAGGTTTTTCCGGTCCTCCGGTTTTTCCTCCCTCGTCTCAAAATCAACCCTAACTAATTCAAACTGGTTAGAGCTGTGCTCCGGGTCATACATGGACTGTATAGCTGCTGCCAGAGGCCCCACTGCCAGAGGCGCCACTGCTGTACTTGTGGTGGTGATAAGCCATGACAAGTTTTTCTTTATTTTTGAAAATAAGCCACCCTCAGCTCAGAGGTTGTTCAGGGTCTTAAAAAAATGATTTCCTTACTATGGATAATTGACAATATACTCGAGTGTGATTCCAAAGGATTGGTGGATACTTTAGTTCTCAAGCATAATGACGATTTACACCTATATTTCCAGAATCCCTTTCGGTAGTTTTTGTTGTTTTTGTTGTTGTTATTGTTCTAACATTTGAATCAGTGAAAATAGATTTGAAAGGGATTAAATGGTTGACACTTTAACATCACAGTGCCATTGTTTACAAGCATTGCGTTTCCGCCTATTGTACTCGAAATTACACTATAATTTAAAATATCTTGTATAAGACTGAGGTATGCTAGCCCAAACGTGACAAAACTTCAAGTTGCATTT